GACACCCACATATTCTTTAGGACTAAGCCTTCCCTACCCAGACCTCCAGCCGAGACAGCCAAGAGGCAGTTTCCATAGGTCCCACCATGCCTCTTGTTTGATCTGGAGGATGCTTGGTGTCAAACATGATCTCTAGGAGTCTCTGGGAACTTTTTGATCCTCTGAAGTCTTAACCAAAGGCTTATATCTTTCCCACCCCCACCTTATCTCCAAATATCTCTCCAAAGCCCTTTCCTAGTGTTGAACATCATTTGCCCTCTGGAGAATTAAATTTCAGAAGGAGAAAGTCCTGGTGCCTCTCTCATTCAGGGATTTCCTCCCAAGGATGTAGTAAAAAATCCCATCTAGCCCCAGACACCTCCTCTTTGCTGTGAAACCACAGACAACAGTATCGCTGAATTCTGCCGCATGAAAGATGCCTTTTTTTTTTCCGGTCCCAAATGTGAGCTCCTCACTTCCTCTGAGCTCTCACGGGCAGCACCCTCCAAGTCTGCCTTTCAACACTCAGTTTAAATGTTTGAACTCTAACAATCTTCTCACCCAAAAGCACTCCCAGCCTCTGCCCATCAGACACCAGGTTCCAAAGCTGTGTCACATTTTACAGGTCTGTGTCCTGTCTCTCTTACTTTGATGCCCAGATCTTCACTCTATTCCAGGTGGCAGCAAATGACATCAATCCCTAGTGGCATGAAACATGAAACACCTCTTGGGTTCCGTGTGTCAGGAATTGGGGGCATCTAAGCTGAGCCAGAAGAACCGGTGGCCCTAGATCTACAGAGCCCAGTTCTTGTCTGAAGACAGTCCAGTTCCTGGCTTTCTCTTGGTTCTTGGAAGGATTCAGTACCTTGAAGACCAAGCTGGCTACCTCAGCTCCCATTGTGTGTCACTGCCATCTACCTTCTGTGCCTTGCCTCATGACCCTCTTTCAGGGGCAGTTTTCCATGTCATTGTGCTTTGGGCAGGCAAGAAGAGCTATGAAAAGTCTTAGAATTTATAGCCCAATATTTTTTTTAAATGACACAGTTGGGAAGGTATCTCAGTTAGGTAAAGGTCTGCTTTTTTATCCCCAGAATGCAGGCAGGATAACACACTCTTGTAATCTCATCACAGGCCAGAGACAGATAGACAGTTGGAAAGTTCCAGTCCGTGACTCTGTGTGTGTGTATGTTTTCTAAGCACCCCAAAAATGACATTGTCCTCTGGCTTCCACCATACACAAATGACAACCCAACATTTTTGCCCTGTTCTGTTTATTGGAATGGAGTCTCTAGATCCAGCCCACAGGACATGGATAGGGTAACAGAGGCTGCAAGTATCAGAAGGTGGGACGTCTAAGAGCATCTTACAAGCTCAGGGACAGTGTGACTGGTGAGGCCTCCATGGCCTGATTATGTCATGTCTGACTCCCACAGATGACAGGCAACCAGGCAAACATGTCATTGTTAACGGGGAGAATCTTAGAAGCATAGCCAGAAGTCTGCACAGCAGGGCCTGGAAGGGAACCCTGGATGAGGACAGCAAAACTGTTGTGCGGGGGGGGGGGGGGGGGGGGTCTAACAGGAAGATCTCTGTCACTGCACCCCAGCTGAAAGATCAAGGACAGCTTCAGAGTTCCCTTGTCCTTTTGGCTGATTCTGCTTCCTTAGGGTGATGCCCTTGCCTTCTTTAAGCTACTAAGCCAAGCACCACCATCCCTATTCCCAGGGGCACCCACACACATCGCACCATTTACAATAATGGCCATGGTCAATAATGGTCACTCTGGAAGTGTGACAAGAAATCACATGACAACACAATGAGACACCTGCCTTTATGACTTCACCTTGGTGACCACACCCTGGCTATGGACCTGACTTCCAGCCTCATGGGCAGGAGTACTGGAGCTTTCATCCCCTAAACAGCTGAGGGGCTAGTGGACTGTGCAGCCAACAAAAAGATGCCAGTGTGGTTGAGTGACATCTCACATCGATCGTCCTGCATCCTTGATCTACTTCTCTGCTGGGATTTGAGGGAAACCCAATAAATGAAATATACTTATTTCCCTCTCCAGCACAGAATCAATTGACAGATGGAGGAAAGGCAAAAGGAGGGTCCTCTTCATTACTGAGGAACTGAACAGAAGGCAGACCTGAGAACACTCCCGGGAGGGGGAAGGACTAGGTGTAGAACCGGTGCAGAACAACTTGCCCCCATGGACAGTTGAGGCTGTGGATAAAGCATTTCTCTGGAACACTCTGGTACCCATGCCTACCAGCCCCCATCCTGAGGAGAACGAATCAGAGAGAGCAACCCCACAGTTGTCACAATGGGTTTTTAGCTATGGCCACTCCAAGCAATTCCCAATGGAGGTCCCTCATTATCTCTGCTCTTGGAGGGGAACAAGAGTTTATTAACCTCGCATCTTCTAGCTTTGCCTCCTCTCGCTGCAGTCATCACGGGGGATTGGCACTTGATAGTCTCTGAAGATTCTAGAATGATCAATAACACACACCATAAATGGAGGTGCACGGCTCCATTCACCCACACTGAAAGCCCTCTATGGGCCCCGCTGCAATCATATCTCCTATGCACTTGCCAAGCGTAGCACCTTTCAAACTTCCTCTCACACAGGGTGCTCTGGCATGCCTTGGATCCCTCTAACATGCCACATCTGCTTCCAGCCTTAGGACCTTTAGCCCTAGCTGCCCTGCTGCTCCAAAGGACTCTTCCCTCGGGACTTTGTATCCTCAAAGGGGCTTTAAATGTAGATTCTGGAATGGTTAGATGGTCCCACAGGTAAAAGAACTTGCAGTGGAGCCCTGACAGCTTGTTTGGCCCCTGGATAGAAGAGTTTCAGTCTGACTTCCACACAGGTCCTCTCATTCACACACACACACACACACACACACACACACACACACACACACACACACACACACACACACAGTGCTCTCTACCCAACCTGTCATTGTCCATCGCTTGGCACAAATGATGACTCTAGTGTGTTGGTCAGCTTTTTTGTCTCTTCCTCCCTTGCTGTGTCCCTAGTACCAGAAGTTATTGGTATAAAAGTTTCTAAAATATGTATTAATAGAAGAATAATAAATTAGTAACTACATGATCACAGAGAGTGCTACCAGAGAAGAATTTGCTCATGAAGATGGTGATGGGACCAGAGGCTCAGTCTGGGTATTCCCAAGGGCAGGGAAGCCTCACTGAATTGCCTGCCTCTCACCCATCATGGTGCTCGCTCCCCTTTCTTCCTCTTCATGTTCCACCATTGTCATCGCATTATGGTCATTAGAAACCAATGGAGTCATTTCCTCTCAGTTTATGTGGTTCTTTTTCTTTAGGGACCCTGCATCCTGTTGCCAAAACTCTGACTTGACCACCCACACTCTCCTAACCACACAGGAAACCAGAAAGGGATGCTACAAGGCCCCAGGTATCTACCATCCGCCACTAAGAAGTAGGATAGTGTAAGTACAGAACCAAGGGGAAGATGTTTGAATCTACATTCCAAGGGTTGGTAACAAAGCACTGGAGACAACAGACAGGGCAGCAGATAGGCAGAGAAACAAGGCTGCCAACAGTGCCTTCTAGAAGTATGCCGTCTGGCATCCATTGAGCCAAGGCTTAACACACCTTCCTAGATTTTAATCATTTGCTGGCTGTGGAGACTCATCAGTCATGAACTCGATGAAGAGGATAAGGTAGGAGGAGCGTAAGTGATAAATATCTTCACCTTTAGACTTGCATCCATTGTCTGTGGCTTCACAACCACATTTCCAAGCCATGGTTGAGTTGTCTCGTGTGTGCAGGACAGAGCCTCTACTTTTCACTAAACATCCCCCCCACTTCCCATAGTTCCTTGGCCTTCTCACTTCATCCCACAGCAAGAAAACTTGCTAAGCAAATTGCCTAGCAAGGCAGAGTACCATTGGTTAGATGTAATGCCACCTATTAGGTATTCAGGACTGTGGTACCTCATTTAGTTGCAAAGCTAACTCCTGAGGCAGGTGCTGTATCCTTCAGAGGAGGAGGATGTGGTTCCCTAGGAGCCATGAGGCAGGAGGGATGAGTGCGCTGCGTTTTGAGTGAAAGGGGAACACTTAATTCTGATGATCTCTGTCTTTTCAATGAAGCAGAAAATGAGGGCGTCTCCTGAGAGGGTGGAGGGGAAGCAGAGTCAAGCTGGAGTACCAGCTGTAAGCCATGGAGGCCGGGTGGGCTGGGGATTTCACTAATGTGAGCACCTCAGGGCTGGCCTCATCCCCTCCCCCGTTTCATCATGACTTCCCATGTTGTATTTTATGCTATAACCTTCTCTGTCATTAGGTTCTCACACAGGGCAGGGACTTCCCAAAGCCCCAATCACATGGACCTGATTATAAACCCAGAGATTAATGTGTTAATCGAAGTGGTAGCCTGGAAAATGGCAGCAGAGCAGCTGGGACTTTTAATAAGTCATCATACTTTGGTCACAAAAAGGGCTGTGTGACCTAAAGGAGGAGGAATGGGTGCCAGCTACCCAATAAATTCAGTCCCAGCCTCATTTTAGGGCTGTCCTAGTCAGGACACCACAAGTACCTGGAGGCCGGGGCTGTCCTAGCCAGGACACCACAAGTACCTGGAGGCCGGGGCTGTCCTAGCCAGGACACCACAAGTACCTGGAGGCCGGGGCTGTCCTAGCCAGGACACCACAAGTACCTGGAGGCCGGGGCTGTCCTAGCCAGGACACCACAAGTACCTGGAGGCCGGGGCTGTCCTAGCCAGGACACCACAAGGACCTGGAGGCCGGGGCTGTCCTAGCCAGGACACTTCTATTAACAGGCCCAGTCCCGGCTTCCAAAACCAGCTTGCTGCTGCCTGTGGGATGAAGAGCCTGGACTGAGCTCTTGGCTTGCCATCCCCTCACCTAAGTTAGACCTGCAGCCTCCCCAGAACCTCCAGCTGGACCCCAAAACATCAAAGAACACTAGCCACACAGGGCATCAGGGCCAGAAAGGCAGTTCGACATTTTATTTCTTCAAACTGTTTCTGGCATACCCCTGGACATTCCTCTTCTTCTGGAATTGTTTGCGGTAGTTCTCCACGTCCTCAAAGTACTTGGCTCGCAGAAGCGCAGCCTTCTGTTCATATGGCTGCTTGTCCACATTCGATGTCATGGACCACATCTTCCCTGTGGCCTTGGCCACCTGCACCACTGACCAGTTGGGGTTGTCATGCTTCAGCTGGGCATAGTGATCCAGGGAGAAGAGCAGGAAGGATGATGGGGGCTGCCGAGGTGCATGTGGGTCCCTCTTTCTCCTCTTCCTTCTCTTGCCCATGTAATTCATCATTTCTTCCTGGTATCGGGCTTTGTCAAGCTTGGCGAGGGCTTCATACTTCGCCTTTTCATGCTTTGAGATGGATCTCCATTTTTCTGAACACTTTCTAGAAAACTCTTTAAAGCCGAGGTAAGTGTTTGGCTGTTGCTCCTTGAATTTGTTCCTGTAATTCAGCATAAAGTGGATGTAAGAAGAGACATTCACCTTGGGCCTTAGCTGGACTTCTTTTCCCATGTTTATATAACCATGATTTCCTTCTCTGGATCCCGCTAATTCGGATAGCAGAGACTTCTGTCTCCACACCCCAGGAGCAATCTAGAAGGTGCTCTGCTTGCTGTGAAATTTTCTCTGTGTGTGAGCCTCAGCCAGGACCCGGCCTTTTCAGTGCTGGTGGCTTTGTTGGGTCAAAGAAGGGAAACTGTGATGTCATCCCACAGCTGGCCAATACTAGCCAAGCTCAGTCATTTGCATGGAGGTCCTCTTAGTGGCTGGTGACTCCAGGGATTTTTTTGCCTCTAAAGAAAGATGGTTTATCTGAATGATATTAGAGCAGCTACTGGCCCTGGGAATCTTTCCCCTTGGCTTCCTGGAGGCTGTGGGCTTTGCTCAGCCTCTAGGGGCTTTCTATCTCCATCCCACAGTGGGTCACAACAAGGGCTGCCTCTCTCCATGTGAGATTGTCAGGATGCCGCCTCCTCATCCTCCACGCAGGCTAGAAATAATGAACACAAGGAGGGTGGATGGCTCTGGAGCTGTCAGGATAATATGTGAAGGCTTTCTGTTTGCCTTGAGCAGTGGCAATGCCTGCTGCACAAAGGGTTTAGTAGTGACTCTAAAAATAATCAACGATGACAGCTGGGACTCGGTTCCTGTCAGGACAAAGTTGTCTAATTTAAAACCCAAGCTCTTGGGCTCGGAGTCTGAATCCTTCGTTTCTCTGAAGATATTTGAAGGGAAGGAGGGAGGAGAACCAGGGAGTTTCTTAATTACATTGGAGTGCTTGAAAATATGAATTCTTAGCTCTTTGGGAGGCCTTTGCCATCCTCAAAAGAATTCCCATTTCTTAGGGTTAGTGCACAAAACACAAGTAACAGCCAAGCAAAAGTAGCTAATACTCCACTAGTCATCCAACTGAGAAGAGTGAAGTAAAGGCCAACTGTGTGCAAGTGGACTTACTAAAGCCAGTGGATGACAGTAGTGCCACAAGCGTGGGACAAGATTTTCATTGACGTAAAAAGGACCAAAGTTAAGCAGCCACCCACAGACAGGAGCTGTGGCTCTTGAGTGCTGACTGCTAGACTGGAACCACCATGCTGGAAACTTTTTGGGGAGGAATAGGTGAGAGGTGGGTTTTTTTGTTTGTTTTTTGTTTTGTTTTGTTTTGTTTTTTTGTTTGTTTTGGTTTTTTTGTGGTTTGGGTTTTTTGTTTGTTTTCTCAGCCTGTGCAAGCTGTTTCCTGGCTTTCAGTGGGGAGGAGTTCAGAAATATACTGATGGTCTCAGCAGTAGAGTCCTGCAAAGAAAGTATTATCAAACCCCCGAGACTGACTTCAAAGGTTGGCTTCTGGTGGAGAAAGGCCATCTATCTCAGCCACACCTTGCCTGTGAGCCTGTGATTTCTCCTTAAATGTGTTTGCACTAGCAAGGAGCATTGTTCCAGATGACCTGTAAGGTACCATAGAGGGTCCTCTTCTTCTCTTTTCTCTTCTCTTCTCTTCTCTTCTCTTCTCTTCTCTTCTCTTCTCTTCTCTTCTCTTCTCTTCTCTTCTCTTCTCTTCTCTTCTCTTCTCTTCTCTTCTCTTCTCTTCTCTTCTCTTCTCTTCTCTTCTCTTCTCTTCTCTTCTCTTCTCTTCTCTTCTCTTCTCTTCTCTTCTCTTCTCTTCTCTTCTCTTCTCTTCTCTTCTCTTCTCTTCTCTTCTCTTCTCTTCTCTTCTCTTCTCTTCTCTTCTCTTCTCTTCTCTTCTCTTCTCTCCTCTCCTCTCCTCTCCTCTCCTCTCCTCTCCTCTCCTCTTCTCTTCTTCCCTTCCCTTCCCTTCCCTTTCCTTCCCTCCCCTTCCCTCCCCTTCCCTCCCCTTCCCTCCCCTTCCCTTCCCTTTCCTTCCCTCCCCTTCCCTCCCCTTCCCTCCCCTTCCCTTTTCTCTTCTCTTCTTCTCCTCTCGTCTCCTCTCATCTCCTCTCCTCTCCTCTTCCCTTCTCTTCCTTCTCTTCTCTTTTCTTTCTTCTCTCCTTCTCTCCCTCTCTCCCTCTTCCTCTCCCTCTCTCTGTATATGCATGACCAGCCCATGAGAACTTAATTTTGAGGGAAAGAAGTTGACTTGCCTGTGTGCTGGAGTTGGACTGGTCTTCAGAGATGAGTGTAACATACTTCTGCCTGAGAACAAAAACGAGATGCGAGGAAGAGCTTCAGTCAGTCTACACATACTAACCAGGCTGCCCAAACATGTATACACACACAAACACAAACACACACACACACACACACACACACACACACACACACACACACGAGTAGCTTCATATGCAGCTGCCTTCCAACACAGCCATGATAAACATCTGTATGCTAGCAGACACAGGAGGAAAAGTCAAAAAAGATATAAAAGCCATGGGAATCTGTTGTGCGGGCCACACTATAGACTTGGAGGGATGATGGGGAATGCTTTGGCCAGGGGAGCTAACTTGGGTGACCAGCTTCTGAGGTCAATGCTGTGTGCTGGGGAAGGCCTACTGCTTGCCCTTCCCTGGCTACTCTTCTAGGTAGATGATCAACCTGGGCCACACCAAGGGCCATTTCACGGGACTAGTTAGTGAGGAACCCCAAGAGATCAGGAATGAAGAAGGTGAGCTTGAGGCACCTATCTCCTGGCTCCATCCCCTTGAGGTCACCCCTTGAGGCTGTTGCCTCCCTGGACTAGAGGTCTTTGCCCATGGAACATGTCCCCTCTAACACAGTTCTCCTCCCAGGTTCATAAGTCACTCCCTCTCCTTGTTTTTTTTTGTTTGTTTGTTTGTTTGTTTTGTTTTTTTTTTCTGTCTAAGATGGGGACAGTTCTGTTGTCACTGACTGAGTCCTCTGTCACTTCCCTTCATTCCAGAACCTTCCTGAACGCTGCCCCTCACTTTTGTAGATAGTCTGTTTATTAAGCACTCCTCAACTTAATTTGAGTTACCATCTGTTTCCTGCTGGAACCTTGACCGAAGCACTGTGCCAATAATCTTTCATTTATATAGACATCACCTCAAAGGAGAGGATTTTAGAGACCCAAGAACACCTTCAGGGACAGTGCTTACCAAGGGTAACGGCCCAGCCTAGGAAGAGGCATCCAATGTCCTCTAGACAGGGGCATTGGTTTAGTAGCCAGAAGATAAAAAACTCAGGCTTCGTGGATGGCAGGACCTCTGACAATTTGGCTCAAAGGTAACCACTGATGATGCATGAACAAATGACTGTGGCTGTGCTAATAAAGCTTTATTTGTACAAACCGGTCATAGGGTTATAAATCTTCTTGCCCTTGGTCTGGTCATATGAGTTCAGTATTTGTTTTAGGCCTCTGTATTGTAGTCTATAACAAATACTTTGTCAAGGTTCGTTAACAAAACATGTACATATATAATGCGTAAGCCACTGTTTTGGGGAATGATCAATTCATGTAAGCCTCATTGTAACCCTATGGGGGGCCCTGTTTTCCTTCCCCTTATAAGGAGCGAGGCACAGTATCAAGTTTCACTAACCTGTACTTAGTATGTGTGTGATGTACTATTATTTTCTGCTGTGTTTAATTTTGATCATTGTAAGAAAACTCAAGTGTGATCTCAAGACTGACTCTAGCTGACCCACAGAACTCCATCTGGGCAAGTTCAAGGTCCCCTTTTCTTGGTGCTGGTAATGAGGTAAGAAGAGTATGGCTTCCAGGGCTAGACACACAGGAATTCCAGAGCTGGCTTTGCTTGTCAGCAGGGGACTTCAGTCAAGTCTTTAAGAACGAAATGACAGTACTGGAGAGATGACTCAGTTGGAAAACTGTTTGCCATGAAAGCTCGAGGACCTCAGTTTAGTTTCCAGAACCCACATTACAAAGGGAAAGAAAACAAAAACTGGCACTGGGAGGCAGAGACAAGAGGTTCCTGGTGGTCACTGGTCAGCTAACCTACCTGAATCAGTGACCCCAGGCCAGTGAGGGAGACCCTGGGTCAAAGAGACAAGGCAGAGAGCAGCAGGAGCTGCACCAGAGGAGGTTGACCTCTATCCTTCAGGAGCTTCACACACACACACACACACACACACACACGCGCGCACGCACGCACGCACGCACGCACGCACGCACGCACACACACACACACGCACACACGCACACACACACACGAACACACATGCACTCACGCACCCACACACATGAACACAGACAAACAAGACAATGGAAAACAGGATAGGATGCTGACAAAGCCAGGATTTACAGACTGAAATGAAAGGATGAAAAGCAGAAGGCACCATGGTCTCCACTGTGATATGGGCTGGACTCTGGGTCAGGAAAAGGACAACAGTGTGTCTCGATAGCACAGGAAGCTGGTAGGCATCATTTCAACTAAGATGTCCAAGGGGTCAGCAGCAGCAGTGTGTCACACTGACAGCACACAAGTCCTTTCTATGATGCCACAATAAGAGCACTGACTCTCAGTGGTGGCCTCCCTCCACACTCAAATCCTAGGTCCAGTCCCAAGAAAAGAGACCAAGCCACATACAGGATCCAAACATATGATCGGTGTTCTTGGGGGAACAAGGAAACTCATACACCTTGGATGAGACTGAAGTGCTGTGGCAACTCGACGGGAGGAGAGATTCCGGGTTGGATGTTGGAGGCTGTCAAGGGGCATTAGGAGACAGCTGGGAACATCTGGAGGAAGCCTTCTGGCAGGCAGTATTACATCAATGCCAATTTGAGTTGTAATGCATGTTCTTTAAGTATAACACCAAACTTAAGAATGGGGGAGGAGCATGCAGCACCATGGTCTGGTGGATAGGTAGACAGGAAACAGAAAATGACCAGGTACAAGAGTGAGAACATAGTAAGTGTCAGACCAGCCTGGTCACCTCTGGAAAGGCAGATCTAGAACTAGACCATGTATGGGTGTGGTGTGGGGGGATCCCTCACACGCCCTGACAAAGCCACTCAAACCACAGAGTTAGACTGTCCCTATTATATCCAATTCCCTGACCTTCCAACCACGGTGGCTATCTTT